TATATACTGCTGGGAAGTACTGAAAGAATTTGATGTAATAATCAATACTTGCAGACCATTGGTCCCTACTGACTTCGGCCTGTATGACTGTGAAACAGGAGTTAAATTGAATTCTATGTGGTGGTTAAAATGATCTTTAAATTGATCTTTAAGTCCTCAGTTTAACTTTGTGAGCCCTGCGAAACCAAGTGACCGCTTCACATTAATGTCCCCACAGGTGTTTAAATACGAGATCGCCATGGAGAAACAAAAAATCTTCATCTCCGGGCTGCCGTTCTCGTGCACTAAAGAGCAACTGGAGGAACTCTGCAAAAGTCACGGCACCATCAAAGAAGTTCGCCTGGTCACGTATCGCTCAGGAAAACCCAAGGTGAGGCGCCAAAAGGAGGACAGCGTCCAGATGTTTGGCTAAAAATAGTCATCCCTATTTAAGCTGATGATAGCCACCTTTGACCATGCAGATGCTGAGCAAGGTCAAGGTGTATTGTCTGTTGCTGATGTATTCATTAACCCTCTCTTCCTGTGGGGCTCTCCAGGGTCTGGCATATGTTGAGTTTGCAGATGAAGCTCAGGCTTCTCAAGCGGTTCTGAAAATGGACGGTATTGATGTGGAGGGCAACAAAATCTCTGTTGCTATAAGTAACCCCCCTCGCAGGAACACGATGGACAGACCTGGTTCCAACAGGTCCACGTCAGACATGATGCCTCGCCAGACTTACGGATCGTAAGTTTAAAAACGTATTTCTGTGTTCTGAGAGTCAGCCATTGTCAGATCTGTGACCGGACTGAAACAAAGCTGTTTGTCTTATTTCAGGAGAGGGAGAGGACGCACTCAGCTGTCATTGCTCCCTCGCTCCCTGCACCGACATAGCGGGCCTGTGGGCAAAGTCGAGAACGGGACCGCAGCCGAGCAGGCGCCAGCAACGGCCAGCGCAGCGGCGAATGCAGCCGGGGAGACGAAACCTTTGTCAAATTCAGACTTTGCCAGGATGCTTCTCAGTAAGTGAGAAGATGAGCGGGAGAATTACGACCGCCTCCACACTGAAAGCCATTTTGTGTCCTTACAATTAGTGGTGTTGTAATTGGTTACCTGGCCTCCCTTTAATCTTGTTCTCATCATGCGTTCTGCGAGACTGCCTTAATCGCCGAGCTCCTGCCCTCCATCACAAAACCCTTTTCAACTAAGACTTTTCACCAGTGTGACAGACTGACCTTGTTTTGGTGTGTTTGAAGGTGGCTGGCAGGCTTCTTTTTCTTCTTTTTTTTTTTTAATAAAACTGTATCATATTTGAGTGTAAATATACTGTATATCTACAATTGTATGCCTCATGTTGCAAAGTGTCTTCTTTTGTTGTGTAATGTGAAAGGGATCTGAGAGAAGCATATGGGAGAGTATTTTTTTAAATATTCAAAACAGCCAAACTTGTGAATGTTGTTTATAAAGGTTATATGCAAAAGTTACGATGTGGTGTAATATAGTCGGTGTGTGTGAATGTGTGTGTGTGTACATAAGTTGGATGTGCTGCAGTGATGAAAAGACACCAGATGTTTTTAGGAAACCTAGAATATTTGTTGTGGAACTTATTTTGACCTCTTAGGACACAGCTAACAAGGCTAGCAATGATTTTCTGACTGTATAGTACAACTACTTTGTCTTTTCTTTTTTCTTTTAAATAATACCATCTCTGAGTTACCATCTGCTGTTAGTCATGAGTATTACGATGCTATGGAGTACCCCTAGAGGGTTCAGCTTATTAGGATTAAGTTCATTGGCTTTGAGGGCGTTATTAAATAATGAAAACTGCTCTAATGTCATGTCACAGTGCTAACGCTCAATATCAGTTCTAGTATTTAGAGAACCGCAGTAGTATCTCATCACTTTCATCTCTTTAATGTCTGTTGAGGATAAAAACATAATTCACAGATGTTTTAGATGTCTGATTTAGAGGGGAAATGAACCTTTCAAAGAGTGCACGTGTTGCTGACGCTGATGACGTGTTTAGCTACTTTGGATACATCCCTGGTTAATGTGTCTGCTTTAGTTTGGTTTATAAAAAGGGTTTCCAACTGTTTTGGTTTTTAACTTCTCATGAAAACTAATTTGGCCGACAGTCAAGAGCTGCAACAATTAGTCAATTGGAAGAAAGTCAAGTTTTAAGTATAAAATTGCCATTTCCAGTGTCTCAGATCTTAGAATTGTTTGCTTTTTCTCTTTCTAACATTAAAGTAATTTGAATGTATTTAGGCTTTAGACTATAAAGTCAAGTTTTGTAGACCAAACATTTAGGGAAATTGTTACTTGCATCCAAGAGTCCATTGCCACAAGTGAAGGCATTAACTAGTTTAAAGGTGTTTTAAAAAGTTCGAATATAACCATAAATGTGTGTACACTGTAAAAGTGAATCCTTGCTTTAAAAACAGTTTTATAAATGTGGTTTGGACCTGGTTTTCTTTGTGTTTGGTAGATTTGATTTCACCCTCTGAATGAACTTGTGGTGAGATGAGCCACAGTTAGCCGATAGCTCTTCAGTATTCTGGGTAAAGAGGCCGTTGCCGACGTCTACAGATATTATTTAGGTCTGCAGCTCTTTCTACTTAACAGAAGAGAATCTATGCAGTTTTATTCCCGTGTTAGGAGTCGACCATTCGTCCAGTTGGATATATAAAATTCCGTTTGTGTACATAATGTTAAATATAATATTTCAAAAAGGTCACCATAGTTTGTAATAAATATAAAAAGTTTTCAAAACAGATGGAATACAAGCTATATGTATTGCTCTCACCGAAGTGGCCTAATCTGAAAAAAAAAAATCTAAATATGTTGGTCTCTAGGAGTCACCTTCTGTTTTATGTTCAATACTAAACGGTGGTATGTGTGCATTGCTGTTTTGTATAATTTCTATAGTCAATGTTTTGGTATAGAGGTAAATAATAAATGGCTATTTTCTGTTTTTTGGGTTCAATCAGTATTTATTTTCCTGCTTGTTTCATTATCTACCCTTGTGTTTTTTGAGTCCTGTAAAAAAAAAAAAAGAAAGTTGTGTCATGTATTTTTTTTCTTTCTGATCTAAACCTTGTTTTAATAAAATCATGTAAATCATCTTTGATCCCAGTATGACATTCATAGCTTTGTTTGTTCTGAAGGAACCTAAAGACACAATAAAAGTTAATAGAACACTTTATTTAAAATAAATAATCAAATAGATGAAAGTGCTTTACAGTGTTAAGAGACATCATCTTTATCTCAAAGATAAACTAAATACTCAAACACTAAACATTACTGAAGCATCTCAAGTCAAAACGACATAAGAAAGCTTTTACCTCCTCACGTCACCAGTAGTCAAACTTTTATTCTGATGGGAACTAAAATGCATCAACGACCCCCTATTGGAAACAAACTAAAAGTGGGAAGACGGTGAAAGATTGTATGAAAGCAACCCCCGAAATACAGCAAAATCAGATTTTAATTCAACATCCTGCAGCACTGTCACTGAATTCAGCAGGTACAGAACCCAAACTGATCAAGGAGGCGATACGGTAGGATACGGCCAAGGGGACAAGGCAACACATTTCATGATAGGATTGTTAATAAAGAGCTTTTAGATTAATCACAGTCTCTTTCTGCATGCTAGCGTCTCATGTTCCCTTTCTCCTCACGTCTCCAGCTCAGTTGTGGATCGGGATGGTCTGCTTGCAGTCCAGACAGGCCTGGTCCTGACTGGCTGCCGGCAGCCCCACAGCGTGCTCCGTGGTGGAAATCAACAATGTGTCCAATGTCATCTCTGTACATTTGGCTATAAAGCGAATGAAGGGCCGTACGTCACCCTCATTGGCTGTGTCTAGAGCTGCGTAATACTCGGACCTTTGTTCTTTGCGGATAGTGATGGGGGGGTATCGCGCCTGCATGAGCACCAGGTTCATGAGCAGCCGTGAGGTGCGTCCGTTGCCGTCTACGAATGGGTGCACGTACACCAGTTTGTAGTGGGCGAGGGCTGCGTACTCCACAGGGTGCAGCTGCAGGGCCTCCTCAGAGTTCAGCCACTGAACCAGCTCCTGCATGTGTCTCTGCAGGTCCTGGGGGTGGGGTGGGATGTGGTGGCCCACAAACACCTGGCTGGTGCGCAGCCTCCCGCCCTCCACGGGGTCCACGTAGCCGAGCACCCGCCGGTGAATCTCCAGGATGTCGCTGACCGTGATGGTCCCCGTTCTGGACAGCAGCGTGGTGTTGATGTACTTCATGGCCGCATCCACGCCGATGGCCTCGTTCTGCTCCTGCAGGCTCTTCCCCGGGACGGCGTAACGCGTCTCGATGATGTGACGGATCTCAGATAGAGTGAGCGTGCTGCCTTCAATGGCCACCGTGTGGTAGATGTGGTGGTAATAGGTTTCCTCCATCACTCGGCGGAGTGCAGAGTTGCCCTTAGGAATGGACATAAGCCGGCGCACTTTGCTGTCAATGATGCCAAAATAACGCTGGTCGATCTCCTCCACCAAGGGAAGGGTTCGGTCTCGGCTCACCAGAGCTCTCTCGTTACACGGCGAGATGGTCAAGGCTTTGGTGTAGAGGTGGTCTGCCTGGACGACGTCCTTCTCCTCCTCCAGAATGGTCCCCAGCTCCGTGAGGGCGTCCACAAAGTCTGGATTCATACTGAGTGCGTGCACCAGCAGCTTGTGAGCCTTCTCCCTCTTCCCCAGTTTCTTCATCTCCAGAGCCTGCAGCAGCGCCGCTTTGGCCTCCAGCTCCATCTCTGCAATCAGAACAAGGTGGACAGCGTCAACTCCAACACCGGTATAGAGTTAATAATACAACAGGACTGTGAACAACAACTTTATCGTTATCATTATCACTGTTAACCCTCATCCTAACTATAACTGGGATTTTGAGCTGAAATCATTCAGAAAACTAATATGCAAAATCCCCAAAATAAGATTACAGATGACACATAAGATGCATATAAGAGCAATCCTCATGTGGTCCTGATTTGTGGTGTGCAGGACCTCTAAATAACCTTATCTTCAACATATGGTACTGAGTTTAACTGTGGATTCAGTCACTACACCTGCTCCTGTTTGTACCTTTGCTCGGCTTGGACCTCTGGGGCAGCAGATCAAGGGCAGTAAAGGGGACAGTGAGGCTTGTGGACTGCACAGCTGGAGGCTGCTGAGAGCTTCCCCACAGCTGGCAACGGAGCTGAGCGATGCCCTTCAGGGCGGCGCAGCACTGGTTCTCCACCCCCACCAGGGGCATCAGGAGGGCCACCAGAGAGCCGAGGAGGACACACAGCAGCGGGCCCCATCCTCCGAGGACACGGCCGCTGGTGCAACGCCACACCGACACAGCAGCCATGGTGATCCCGGGTTAGATCCTCCATCCTCTAGTGATGCGCTCCAACATGCATATCCACCCCGACTAGGAGAGCCGAAGGGCGGTCACCAACACCACCGACGAGACTCGGCCCGGTTACCCAAACGGTGACTTAAACTCTGAAACAGCGACAGAAACAGCGGCTGACTACAGTTGTGTACAAAATACACACATCATCCAGCTTCCTCGGTGTCTACGTGTGAACATCCTCGGATATGATTGGTCGGGGTTATATTGAAGGGCGGCGTTGATTGGCAGAAAACGCAGCAATACAACGAATGGTTCGTAATCGTTTCTGATTGGATGGGGTAAGTACAAAAAGGTGTGTGCCCTAAGTTTGGACTTTCAGGAGATATTTACAGCAATTCAGTATGTAATCTTCTAGAAAAACGTCAAAAATGCCTATTTGTTTCCCATTAAATCGCGTTTCCCTGTTTGTAATGCCATTAAACGTTTATAATATATTTTATTTATTTATTTCTGTTTATATTTAATAAGTAATTTACTAATTGTTTTACTTTTAGTTGACATTTTTGCTTTTTTTTTACAAGATTATCTCCCTGTTTTATTGCTGTCGTAATTATTTTGCCTTCTGTTTTAAGATAAGCTTTCGTTGTTCAGGTATTTGTACAACGTTGGTAGGAGGGGATTACCTGAGAGGTTTTACTCAGGGCAAAAAAAGTCCAGAGAGACCCTTGAGAGCTGAAATATTAAAATAGACTCTGCTCCAAATCTGTGACTCCTGAGTGCACACTTTATGATGACTGAACATGCAAAGTGACCCTCTTTGTTGTGTTGTTCTTATGGTAAACAGGCATTTCAAACACAATTCGGCATAAACAGGTGGTGCAAATACTTATGGAGCTGGCCTAATATCTTGTAGCTAATATTTTTTAGTTTGGCCATTTCAACCACAAACTTTTGGCCTATCACAGTTTTCTTGTCATTCATTGTTAAAGGGTAAGAGACAATCCAAGAGACTGATCTACTTTACGCATAATTTGCATTAAGGAACTGAATACAAAGTTGTTTTGCCTTGATACTTTATATAACTCATAATCTTTAATTATGTAGATATCTGCAGCTCCAGCTTCCGCCATCATTTTAATGCAAATATATACTAACAAACAGAAGAGGGCAGCATTGCTCTGTGATGCAGTCATCGCAGCCATGGTACAGCATATCCTCTGAAGACTGCAGTAGCACTCTTGGCCACAAAAGCCAGTATTATCAAGATTGATTATGCCAGTTTTTCAATGCAACAAAAAGGAATTTGTATTTGTATGAAGCAAGATTAACATCCTCCTCCTCAGTCTCTTGTGCTTTTACTTTCTGTTTTTAGAATTTTTTTGGTAATATTTCAGTTCCAGTTATATATTTTTATACTTTTTTATGTCTCATCTATTTATAGTGAAATTGACTTTTCAGAAATGACCACCAGCTGAGAACAGACTGTGGTGATGAGGAGTGAGTCCTGGCTGCGTGCCAAAGCCAACACTATTAGACATATCTTCAGCAGATGGTAGACTATCAGCTCTAAACAGCTGATATTTACAGATAGCCTTAGACTCTGTGGCACCGCACCGTCTCCACAGACACTGTAGGGAAACCATGTAGATTATTATTTTTTAAAAGTTAAATATTTAGTACTTCTGTCAGAAATTTTGGTGGTTTGAATTTGTCACGTTATGTTACACAGCGTACTCACAGTGAGCTCTGGAGCTGCACACTGACATCATTTGCCATCACAGAGCCCCTCTGTGCTGCTTTGACCCACAGCAATTTCACCTTGGAGGATAATAGAGCAGCCTGTTCGAGTGTGCTTGAGCTGCATTATTTCTTTACTCCTGTTATCCGTGCGCTCTATCACACACTCCTCAAAGCAACAAAGAGAGGCTGTAGGAAGTGGCCAAGAGTATGTTTACATTGATTTCTCATTTTCTAAGGGGGTGAAAGAAAGAAACAAACGTTGGGGGAATATTCATCAGCATGCTGCCAATGATTAACTGTGTGATGGGGGAAAGGATGACTAACTGCTGCCTGTGGGATACAGGCTCTAGATGTTGTGTATCTGTGGCTCATATCAGACTCAGTGCTGTATGATTTTGCCTCTGCACCAAGCTACTGTTATTATTACTTTTTGGCTTGGAAGCAGCTTTCCTTCTATAACGCATAAAACCAGGCTTATAGTTGCAATGAGAAGAAAAAAAGTGGGCAAAGCCTTCACAGGTTTGTATTTCCACATGTGTTATTTCTATTACAACAAAATGAATGTTGTTGCTCTTTAATGGCTCAGTACCAACTACCGAATTTTTCATTCTTGGAACAGAATGACAAATGTGCACTGTAAAAAGTAAGTAACAATATATTACTCCCTCTGAAGCTCAGGGCTTTGGGTTTTATGCTTCTACACATAGTGTGTCGGCCTTGGATCAAGCAATACCAGCTCTCTGAGACTCATGACGTTTTGTTGAGTCACAGAAGTGCTGATTCAGTGGTCACCTGTGAGGAAGCAACAATAGGATGTGTTCCTACATGGGGACGATAAAAAAATGTAATGACACGTTTATTTTGAAATAAATGCGAAACACGATAATGAAAATATACTTCATAGTTTTAAACTGGCATTAAAACATACTGGCATCACTTACATTTAGTTAAGAAACACATATAGTTATTGTATCACAGATAGACCCCTCATCTCCCAGTTTGGTTTTTTGGAATCAATACTATTTCCATACATCTGGTTTAACTGGCAAGGCCTTCAGCCTTGGTGACAAGATTTTGGCGTGAAATGCGGGCTCCCCCTGTTCGCCTTGTTCAACATAAATCAGAAAATCATTATAAGACTGTATGCTTTTCAGCTAGACAGCTTTTCCAAGTCAAGCCATGTGAGGTTATTCACGATTATCCCGATAATGGAAATTCACCACAATTTACATTTATTGTTTTTTATCAAGATACTCAATAATATAGTCCCATTTCTAGGTGTTCCTCTATTACTTTTGGTTTGGAGAAACAGATTATCTTTACTGATGTATGTATTTGACACGAGTTGTCGAACTTGACACTTAAATGGTTACTCCCTTACAGTATGTTTGAGGAGGAGAGGGAAAATAACACTGATTATGTCATGGGGATGTCATTATAAGGTTATCTCAGCTCGACACATTCCAGGATTAATTACAAAAAAAACTGAGAATAAAGAGGTTAATTAGTTCAGACAGTTATACAGTTTAGTCTACAATTGACTGTGTATATTGAGAATCTTTAAGGCTTTGGGGTTTGCAGAGAACTGAATAGTTTGTACAGTTGCACTAGAAAGAGAGAGTGAAGCGAGGGCGTTGCAATGGAACTACACCACTAGTTGTCACTCCTACACCCTGGACCTGTCGGTACAGATTTAGGGGTATATATTTGATGTTACTTTATCTTCTACTCCACCACATTTACTCAACAGCTACAGTTATTAGTTGTTTTTCAGATTAAGATTTTACATTCAAAATATGACCCGTTTAAAAAATATTATACACTATTATATATTCCAGTATATGAAGTAATTAGAATTAGCTCCACATCAAACAACTAAGTTACAACATTAAAGTACTGTTTACAAATGTATGACACAAGCCATTCTGTGTGTTGAGTACTTTTGCTTTAATAATTTAA